TCATCTTTCTCTCCTTCTCGTCACCACTTTGTTTGTCTGATCCCCACTCTCGGACTAACTACATAGAAACCAGTGGCGATAATGATGTAACGTGTAAAATTGCAAATCCCCTCCATGTTTGCTTCTGGATGCGTTCTCGTATTTTGGATCATTCCTGATTACTATTACTTTGTTTTCACATTAAGTTCCAATTTTTTAGTCCTATTTAGTGGCATTTGTATGGAAAAATCAACAAATATGTAGACAGTGATGGTTTGAGATAGTTTTTACTTTTAAAGTCACGTTCCATTACAAGCTTAATATTATAAATTCAACAAGCAAATGACTGAACACGATCGATTAGTTGTTCTTATTAATTAACAAAATAATAAAATAATGGTGATAATAATAGTTACTCAAAAACTTAAAAAAATTAACAGTTAGATGCTCGGCTATGAAAGATAAAATATTATATATACACATACAAATTTAAATATTATATATATAGACACGCATACATATAAATATTTATATATACTAAGATTTTAAAAACTGAAAATATAAAATCATTATATTATAATAAGTATTTTATTGTATCAATAAATCATATGCCCTTTACTGTAATTTCATACTGTTCGGACAATTTTTCAGCTCTTTTTGCCAAACGGGTCTACTCCATTCAGTTGTCAAATCAGATTCAGCACTTTAAAGTCCAGTTTCAGACAATAGTCTTTGATTCAGACAACAGGTCATAATTCAGACATTAACCTCCAGCTCCAGCTTGTTGTGCCAAACATAGCCTATATCAAATGAATTTCTATTTGAATTCCCATTATATTGCATTTGTAATTGTTTATAAAGATTTCATCAGAATCAGGCGTTTTATTTTCAGGCCTATGGGCGAGATAATATTTTGAGCTTATATTCAAGACTAACAATAAACTATATTTATTTTAAATAAAAATTATAATAAAATCATCTCATAAAGGTCATTAAATAAAAAGCGAAACTCATTTTATTATTTAAATTACATATTTGGTGTAAAGTAACAACACAAATATCACATAAAAAGAAAAACATTACTTAAAAACGTTTTTCACGGAATTTTCAAGATTTAATTTCTTAATAAAAACAAAAATTTACATTGATCCCTTCTAACTTAACCCTGTCTTTTCTAATCTTCTTCTCTTCCTCTCTTTATCCCAACCTGATTCACCAATTTTATCAAGAATAATTTATTGATCACGGGTGGATTGTTTGAAGCCTTGAAAGAATACGTTTTTGTTTACCGACCACCGTTTGGACTCCTCGATTGATTGGCTTCAATTCTTAACAAACCGCTGAGGCACTCACCGCTTTGCACGTTCTTTACTCTTGTTGATATTGACATTTAGAAACTACAAATCAATTTGGATGGACTTTGCGAATTGGGAGTTTTGGGCTTCGGAGGCCAAAACATAACTTGGTAATATTATAATTAAAAAGATTATAAAACCTAGAGATCCGAAGAGAATTAAGAGCATCTCTAGTCGCACACCCTTGAGGGTTAAAAAATGCCATATCATCCTTCTTTAACATTACAGCGAGATTTTGATTTCCAATGCACTATGTTTATCCTCATGTGATGTTGAGTTGATAAAAAATAAATTAGACACTGTATGCATGAATGTTGTCTCACGACAGTTCCCTTCACGCATGACTTAGCAAACGTGAAGCATAATTGCTGGGTCTTATTTAGTTTCCTATTTATTAATTTGAATTAAATATATTCCACTTTCAAAACTGGTAGACATCAATGAAATGCATTGCGGAGCATTTGGCTGAGTTTAGGTATTGACATTTATCCTACATGGCTAAACATTACATACATGTATTGCCATGTGTCACAATTTTTTATGTTGAAAGCCTCCCATTAAAGATGCTCTAAAAGAGGTGTGCCACTTTTACATTCATTTTAAAAATTAAATCTTGAGTCAATTAATTGATCTTAAAAAAAGCCTAATCACACTACATACAAAGAAATAATTTTGAGCCTATTTTATTACTCTATTTTATTGGGGCAAGGACGGTCGCCCCTGTTACACCCCCTAGGGCCGCCCCTAGGTCAAACGCACCTATTTCCAATTTTCAGAACATAATTAAAGAAAACCTTAGCATTACCGCCGTCTTGCGGAGGTATACTGCCGATCACTTCTCTATAGAGCCCTTTCTTTTCTTTTGTTTGGGTTCTCATCAAAACATGAAGATTGCATGTAATAAGGATTAGCTCAATAAATATCAAGGTCTTCAGCAGCTAATTTCCTCAGATCGGGAGAAAGGCGGTCGTTTCTAGGTATATCCTAGCGTTTTTTCCGACGGCTGTTTTTTGACTTGGTCTGGCAGAGTTTTCTTCTAGTTTTGGTTGGATTAATTCGGCGGTCGTTTTCGATTGGTCCGACAAAGGTTTTCTACCAGTTTTTGGTTTGAATTGATATGGCGGAAGTGTGTTTTGTTTCTTCTCACAATGGCATGAATGTGCTGCCTCAAAATTGCAGGGGTATTGGCAATCTAGCCACGACTCAGGGATTGACAGATTTGGTTCCGGCCCTTGGCACGACTGATGAACAGACAGTGAGCGATGAAGGATTGAGTAATGGAGAATATAGATCGGCAAAGCGTCCCCCTTCTGACCCGCCGCCTTGGATCGATCGAGATGACATGAGTTGGAAGATGATATTTCAAGAAAACAGTGAGGAAGGAGTTTGGAGTATTTGTCAGTTATATTATTTTTTATGGTCTTATTTTCGTGTTATGATTGTTTATAGTATTTTTGTTGATGTATTTAGTTTTACGTCTACAATAATGATTGACAATTCTGCTAAATATTATGTCGTTAGAAGGATCTATATGACCAGTGATTGATGTGTCACACTCGCTTGGTGGTTATTGATTCGTATTATTGCTCTTTTAGCGATTCGTATTCTGCTCGAACGTTTAATTGATCCTACTTGGAATTCGAGTCCTAAGTCCAAACATAAGATCTTTAGAAGGAGTGAGCGGATTGCTTCAAATCGTAAGCTTTTATCTAGGAGCTAGATGGATCAAGTTTGGATTTCATAGACTTTATTACTTTTATCTTCTTGTTTGCATTAGCTTTTGGGAAGTTCTCCCCTTTTGACTCTCCTCTTTCATTAGAACATGTAACCTTTTTCATTCTCAATAAAAATTTAATATTTCTCGCAAAAAAAAGATAGTTGTTGTCAGTATTGTTCTATTTGAATTTGTTGTAACGATCTGATCCCTAATGTTATTAATATAAACGTTTGTTTTGATGATAAAAAAACAAGAAACAATGGCACGCTTATTACTTCTCATCTTTCATAACACAAAATTATAACTACTTTTAAAAATCACTGAAAAGTGACTGGCTTTGCACCCCCCCCTTCTCTCTTCCGCTGAACCTTCTCTCCGACCCTTTCTCTTCCGTCCTTATAGCGCTGAACCAGCACCACCTAAGGCTCCGCCTTCCATTGAACTTGCTTTCTGCCTTTCTCTTTCGTCCTCGAAGCACTGGATCAGCACCGCCCAAGTTTCCGCCGTGACTTGCAGCCATCATCTCCGGCTCTCCATTGCAATCTGACTTCGTCTATTTTAGGATCTGACACCTCCGCCATTTGATTTGTCGACGACAGCGCCATTGGTTGTAGGTGGCCGTCGATTTGAGAGTGCAAATCACTTCACGGTGTGCTTCGTCGGATTTGCACAGATCTGGAATTCGTTCCCAGTTGGGCAGAGATGCAGCGGACTATTCCTTGGCTATAACGGACAGGTGAGGAGGAGGTAGCTATTAACGAGCCGCAGATTAGAGGTGAGGGGCAGGGGAAAGGTTTCCGGCAAGGTCTGGGGTAAGAAGGTTCTTACAGGGACAGTTTGTTGGTAGGGGCTGGGAAGATTGGGACCTGGATGGGATGATGGATTGGTAATGATTGGTAGTAGCGAGTCATTGTGGCCGGACGGCGGCGTAGCATGCGACGTAGCGAATGGGTTTTGACAGGAGGCAGGGAAGGTGTGCGTCGTTTGGGAAGGCAAGCCTGTGGCGGGTTGTGGTGGGTTGTTGATGTCACTTAATTAGTGTCACTAACGGAGGTGGTTGACGGAGCTGAATGCGAGAGGGGTCGGCGTGGCTACTGATAGGTCGGGCGAAGGCAATTTCATTGACCAGAAATGATCATAGTGACATGTTTGCCGACCACAGTGACACAGGCGATGACTATAGTGACACGACGGTGGCTACAGTGACACAGACAGTGGCTACAGTGACATGAGCGGTGGCTACAGTGACACGGGCGATGGTTGTAGTGACATCATGTTTTCTAATTCTACATATATGACCTTCTTGATCACTTTTTTGCCCCTTTTTAAAAATGGTCACTTTTTGGGTAATTGGTTCAAAATTAGTAATATTCAAGTAAAAACCCCTATTCAACAAGCGGGCTCAAACTAGGGCTGCACATTGGGCGCCCTAGTTTGATAAATTTGATGGGCCTACCCAACTTATTCGGGTTGGCAATTAACCAACCCATTGTATGCAATGTAATTCGGTAAATCATGCATCAACGGGTCGGGTTGGGTCGGGTGAGTTTAAAAAAACCATTTCGGGTATGATTCTTAATTTTATTTTTATTATTTTTTAAGCTAAGCCCAGTCAATTTTTTGAAGGGCACGGTATGAGTTAATTTTCTAGTCTATTGTTATTAGACAACAATAATACAACCCCACTGAAGGGCACGATTTGGATTACCAGAACCAGAGAATTTCCCAATTTTGAAGCTATAGCAAAAATACCAAGTCAAGAGCCAAAGTCCATGCTCCCTGTTATTCCCAATGGTTTGCTGCTGTTTTTGAAGAAACTGGTCATCGCTTGGGGTATGATAATTTAATATAGACAAGTCACAGGTCTTTCAACATGTACACAATTCACTTTTATAGGAATATAATGATGAATAACAAAAAAAGATATAACAATTAAAATCACTTGAGAATAATATAGAATGATGATTCATTAATATAAAAGTTGACTGCGGCAAATTGCAGCAGAATCTTAAAGCTTTACATTGTCTCATGACAAAAAAACTAATGAAGTTCATTGAGACTTGGAAAAAAGGCAAAAACTAGCAAGTAGCAACACTGAATCACAGCAAGAGCAAAAAGCATTTCTTGAATTCAGAATTATAAGTATTATGCAGATTACAAAAGTAAGACCAAACAACATCCAGATCTTGATCAATCAATCCAAAGCTCCAAAATGTCCAGAAAATGCATCACCATTGCCAGTAGAAGTTTCACCTGAAAAGAATATAAATAATTCACATATAAAGTGCTATAAATAATATCAAATATTAAATTTAGATAAAAGATACAATTACCTAAATCTGCAATAGCATACTCCTCCATCTTCTCCATGTCTATGTTTTCTGGAAGAAGAGAGCCTCGAAGCCAATTCTGAGTGCATATCAACTCTTGCACTGTCTTAGGACTCAATGAACTCCTAAATGGATCCAAGAGTCGACCGCCAGTGCTAAACGCAGACTCGGAAGCCACAGTTGACACAGGAATGGCAAGAACATCTTTTGCAATTTGAGAAAGTACAGCATACTTGGAAGAGTTGAACTTCCACCATGACAATATATCAAAATTATCAATTGATGGATCTTCAATAGGATCTGCCAATTACCATTTCCAGATGTGTTAAAGCTCAAACAATTCTGTTTCTTATCCTGGACTTTGTGTGGATTTTTTTTTACATTGATGCTCAAAATGAACTTTCATACTACTAGTTCCGTGCTTCCTACTATGACACTTGTATTGTGCCCCACAATAGTTACAAGAGCACATAGGGTCTTTTGGATCCCTCCCCGGAATGAGAGTAAAATGACTCCAAAGATATGATTTCTTTTTCCCAGCACTCCCATTTTCTGCTTTAACACCAGAAACTTGAATAGGGGAGGGGTTTTGATTCTCTGTGGGTGTGGGGTTTGCGGGGCTAGATGCATCTTGTGTTTCTAGGATTGAATCAGACACATTGAGGGGATCCATCTATACAAGAAAAAAGAATAAATTTCATAATCTATATGAAATAAATCAAATCATATCAAATCAATGCACAAGCTCATACAAAACAAAGAAAATTAAACAATAACTAGTCTGGTAAAATTTAAAAATATAATAAAATGAGTACTAAGAGATCCCAATACACTATCTGATATTAACGCAGTAGCACAAAAAATATCAACAAATTTAATAACTATTAATTTCAAAAGATATTAACAAATTTAGAGGATAAATTAATCTAGTTTTCAAAATTTAAATTTCCTAGTGCAGATCAAAAGACAAGAAAAGAGAAGCTTATGAAGTTATGATCAAACCAGATTGTCCAATGTCCAGGCTTATACCAATTAGGCTTAGGATAGACAAGCTCAAGGAGAAGGTCACATACGGAGTATTAAACCGTTCATAGATTATTAGATGCATAAATTGCATACCTCCTTTTGCAGCAGATCCAAACCTCTTTAAATCTTTCTGAAGGATCTTGAGAGTTGCTTCTTAACTTCTTTAACCAGTCTAGTGCGAGAGAGAAGAGATTATTAGAAATCAGACTTACCACTGCTGCCGCTGCATATAAATAGCCTATTACGATGAGTGGGGTTTTCATATTAATTGAGAAGGAGAATGAGAGTCTGGTGTAAAATCGAAGATCGAAGAGACGGAGAATTAAATATTTAGAACATCGAAGCGGCTGGACTACTGGAGTAAAGAGCGGAAGAAGAAGAGGCCTAATGATAAAGAGGACGAAGTGACTTCTAAGCCGAAGTATTCCGTCTTTGATTGGATTGGGGGGCAAGATCAAGACCCGCCGTCTTTGACAGAATGGGGCCAAAGCCAAAGACAGTCATGAAGAAGACTTTACAAGAACGGCTTGGAACGAGCCCGATGATGATAAAGTACGCTGAAGACCCATGCATGGGACAAAACTTCAAAAGAACGTATGTACATGAAAGATTGGGGTTGAAACATGAATGCAATACATCTGCTAAAGTTCCTCTCGAAAAGCAAAGTCTTAATGAGCATAGAAGTTTTGTCCCATCTCGTATGAAACGAGAAACCAATGTTAAAGTAACTTATGGAAGTGCACTCAAAGTTAAACCAGTGACCATTGTGCATACTCGTGGTCAATATGAAGACCAATATGTGAGTTCATACTCTAAAAATCCAGTACCCTTGATGTCGGGGTATAGATATGTCAAATAAAATGTTGAAAGCCTTAAACCACCAATGATGTTGTAAGTGGCTAAACTGCTAAAACATCTCACTTTGTCTATGGGTGAGCATAATCATAGATACTCTTGGCCCACAAGAGTTTAAAATGTGTATGGCAAGCTCTTGGCCCACGAGAGTAAAAAATGTGTACGACAAGCTCCTGGCCCGCATGAGCTAAAACTGTGTACGGCAGCCCACCCCTTTAGATTACCTATTCAAATGGTATTATGAACTACGTTTGACTTGATCTCCCTCATAGGAGTACGTAGGCAACTCAAAAGTTTCATTTTTGAGTTCAGTTATAACAAAATAAACCCTAATTAAGCTTTTTTAAAGGAGAATATCAGCAAAAGGATCATGAAAAATGTTTGCAATCTCCTCAAGTTCAAAGTCATACCAAGAAGTGGAATTCTCAGGTCTCTTCCTCACCGAAAGTTAATTGAACTAAGGTTTGAACATCATCTTCTATCTACGCCATTGTCTCAATGATGTTGCAAGCGGCGGCATTTCAGCCTTCATAAACGGGGAAATAGACGCCCTTCACAAACGGCGAAATGGCTTCCCTTCATAAATGGCGGAATGGCCGCCCTTCATTAACAAGGAAATAGATGCCCTTCATAACGGCGAAATGGATGGCCTTCATAAATGGCGGAATGACCGCCCTTCATCAACGGCGAAGTAGTCGCTTTTCTTAAAATGGCGAAATAGCCGCCCTTCATAAATGGCATCAGTACGGCTTCGTATTCACATGACTTCAACAAAATTCTTCAGATCGGTGCCACCAACCCAACAAAGGGCCCCAAGCGAAAATCGGCCCGATTCTTTAGAACGGTGCCACCAACCCAACAAAGGGCCCCAAGCGAAAATCGGCCCGATTCTTTAGAACGGTGCCACCATCCCAACAAAGGGCCCCAAGCGAAAATCGGCCCGATTCTTTAGAATGGTGCCACCATCCCAACAAAGGGCTAAGCGGCACCGACAACCGGCAATTGACCTAATTCCTTAAATCGGTATCATCCCAACAAAGGGCTAAATAGCACCGAGAATCAGGAATCGGTCTAATTCTTTAAATTGGTGCCATCCCAACAAAGGGCTAAGCAGCACGACAATCGGGAATCGGCCTAATTCTTCAAATCGGCGCCATCCCAACAAAGGGCTAAGCAGCACCGACAATCGGCAATCGACCCAATTCCTTAAATCGGCGCCATCCCAACAAAGGGCTAAGTAAGCAGCACCGAAATCGGGAATCGGCCTAATTCTTGACATCGGCGCCATCCCAACAAAGGGCTAAGCAGCACCGACAATCGGCAATCGGCCTAATTCCTTAAATCGGTGTCATCCCAACAAAGGGCTAAGCAGCACCGACGATCGGGAATCGGCTTAATTCTTCAAATCGGCGTCATCCCAACAAAGGGCTAAGTAGCACCAACGATCGGCAATCAGTCAAACTTCATCCTCTTCAAATGGGGCTTTGATCAGATCACTTGAAATAGTAAAAAACGGGGCTCGTTGTGATCTTAGAATTGCCCAAATTCATGGGAAGACTCAAATCATAAAATAGGTCTAAAGGCCCAATTAAGTCAGCTGGTCCCAATTTCCTTCCGCCCCTTCTCGCAGCAGCATCCAAAATAAAAGAAAATGTCAGTTGCAATCTCTTCTCGTCGGACGAACAGAGGCAGCGGAGATAGGAACCTCGGCCAATCAAGCCGGACAGCAGCGCCGTGAACAGCCAATCGACCGTGAATTGATGCTCGATAACTCCGGCCGGCGACGGTGACTCCTCCCTGCCAAACTTTCTCTGCACCTGGGATTCTGAACATCATCTTCAACCATGGCATTTTTTCCTCCAACATCATCTCCTCCACGCAAGAGAAAGAGCATAGCAACGTCAAATACGATCTACTCAAGCCTTCTAAGACGAACCGGAGCAAAGCCATGGATCCGCTCTTTCCTCTTCGACGGACGCGCAGGTAACAAAAAGAAATCAGCAACCGCTTTGCTTCATTGAAATTTCTGTTCGCTGCATCAACAAAACTCTGGCTGGAAATCAACCTCCGCCGGAAACAACAACAGTAACCCCTTATCGATGCTCCGGACGGTGGCTTCCCTCTCGCTAGCAAATAGCGATATTTGCAGCAGGGCGTGACATTACCAGTAAAAGAAAACGACTGAATAGAGAAAGAAATTCACCTATGCTATACGGCTTCACGTATGTGGAGTCGATCAAGCTTTACGCCTTCAAGAGTTTTTTTTTCGGAGTAAAAGATAGAGGTGGAAGAGAGAAACATCTGGGCTGATATTTATACGCAGCGAAATAAAAGTCCTGCTAGGATGGAAATTGAGAATAACTTGGAGTTTCGTACTTGCTATACGACGTATGAGTTGTGATCTCCCATTAGAATTTGAGTGAGAACTGCAACGGGAGTCAATTATAGTGGACATCTTCTACTTTAATTAATTCAAAATTGGAGTGCACTTCGTGATGAAGCAAGAAAGTTGAGCCCAATTTTTGCAAGCCTAATGGAAATAATAGAATTTTAAGCCAATGGATTCGGTGGATCTTGCTCATTGAAAAAAAAAAAAATCTTTTGCAGAACTGGGCTAATTACGATGGGCTATAAGATCAATTTCGAGACTCACTTGTTCGTGCCAAATCATTTTACACAAGTAAGTCTCGAGGGGGCATTTGTGGACATATAAAAAAATTATTGGGCCAGTTGAGATGATTACTGGGCCTCTTTCGAATGATATCTAGCCAACGTCGATTTTAGTGGGCTGCTCGTGATAGTTGTTGGGCCTCTTCAAGAAGAAAATAGTGATATGGATCTCTTGGGATAAAATTTGTTGATTTAATTAATTTGGATTATTCAAAATATCCAATTGTTTTAATTATAAATTAAATCTTTAAAAGAATGGATTGGTCCTATTGATCTTGAGTCCATTATCAAATAGCGGCCCAATATATAAGAGACATGATCCAATTGATAAAGAGGTCAACGAATCTGGCCAAGAAATCCTTCCATATGCATGGAAAATAGCTATGAACCTTGTTAAAAAAGCTGTCCAAATACATCGGACAAATGCTGATTTTTCTAGCTATTAAAATGCAAGCAAATAGAACCCGAAGCCCATTTTTATTGAGGCCCATGAAGTATGGACGAATTTTGGAACCCTAAAGCATATTTCATCCCCCTCCACACCTATAAATAGAGGAATGAGAAGAGAACTTCCAGACAAAGAAACGCTGCAGATCGAAGAGCTCAGAAAAATTCCCGAAAGGCTCTGAAAGATTCCGAAGCATCGGAAGATATCAAGCCACGTTTTTTGTCAAGAATATATGATTAATCCTTTGAGATTTTCATCTATTCTTGATCAAACAAAGCCAAAAGTTGAAGAACGTTTGAGGATCTGAAGAACGAAGCTTGAAGATTCGAAGATCTGAAGAACGAAGCTTTGAAGATTCGAAGATATGAAGAATGAATCTTTGAAGATGTGAAGATATTCATATGAAGATTGAATCAAAATTCAATTGAAGATCAAGCCATATATCCCAGGAGGCCCTTAAACAGAAGATTAAGCCATAAAACGGCCCTTTTGTTGAAGATCAATCCACTTGAAAACCGAAGGCCCTTCAATCTGAATTCTTTATTCAAGAAGATTTGAAGATCCGAAGAACGAAAATTCGAAGATCTCAAGAACGAAGATTCGAAGATCCGAAAAACGTTCAAATATTTGAAGAATTAGAGATTTAATTTTTAATTAAATTCTTTAATTATATTCATATTAAATTGCAAGTGAATCAGAGGATTCATATTTAGAGATTGTACCCAATATTCTCATATATTATTATTTGTGATCAATTTTAAGTAAATACTTAATATATGTGACGAGTAATAATGACGTTTTGATCGACTCATGTTAGTCATGTAGTCATATGCAAAAGGCCAAGAAGGTAGACGACCTTAACGTTGTAGAATTGGGTGGACCGTGGAATATTATAAGTCATACGAATATTCTATACGACAATACCAAGTCAATTTAGGAATATAATAACAGCTTCAACGTAAAGCCCAAGTTAATAACCTTTTCCTTATGTATATAAATATAAACACATGCTCATGTTTTCTTTATTAAAAATCCTCGTCCCAAAATCATCAAATCGATCACGCATAGAAATTATATTTACACACAGGGATTGGAGTACTTTTTATATACGAATAGAAGCAGTTATTTTTCAGATCGTGATCGATCTAATGGCAGGTCTTCAGTACCACTTCTTCCCCACAGATTTCTACTACCCTAAGCCTCCCAAATCAACCACCAACGCTCCACCGAAACTTGCCGCCGAACCGCATACTCCCGCCAAGTCCAGGGCGGCGGACGGTGCTGATGTCGACAATAACGCCTTGGGAAAACGTTACGTGGGCGGAAGCAAGACTCTCACGGCGTCAACTCCCCCGGTGAGATGCATCCCGGTAGTAAAGGAAAATAAGAGTCCTATTCACGATGAATGAAGATTCCTAGTAGCTCAAAACTTTATATTCTTTTGTCCTTTTACTAGTTTAGCAACGCGCAATGCGCGTTCGTGTAAATGCCCAAGATCATTATAGATCATTATAGACATATTAATTAACGATGGAGGTTCGATTGAGTGAATATGCGAGTATTATGAGTAAACTATTTGTACACGTTGTTTGTTAAAAATTGATAAAGAAGCTTAATGAATCAAATATTTGTAGTTCAGATTGTGTATGGAAAAATAAAACAACCAGGTGGTTTATAATAATCATAATAATAGGAGAAGAG